AAGAAGGAGTTTTGTGTTTTTTAATTATTATTATTAATAATCACATGAAAGAAAGTCATAACGCTCTCTTGGATCATAATTAAAATTCAACGTAACTCAAAAGCACCTCCTTCCCCACCTGTTGCACAAAACACTCCTGCAGGAGAATAACATTAAAGAACCTGAAAGTATACTGTTCGTGGATATACCTATAGAGGCGATTTAGGGAGATACAAGACACCTTTCTATAGTCTGAGAAAGCGCTAATTACGCTGTAGCCCTCGATCGAGAAAAGTTTTAAGTATAGTCCGTTAGGCCCTTATGTATAGCGGTCACGATTCATGACATAAAATGAGAATACCACCACGTCGATTGATGTTTCAAATAAGCCGGTCTAATCGAATAGTTAGGGTATCTTTATTCCGTTAACCTTCGTCATGAGCTGGACACGTCGAACCGCTCTAATTTGCTGTTCTCAGTATAGGATGTTATTTTAGTTAGCTTAACAGACTAAAGTAGGTTAGGCCCTTCGACGGGAATAATATGATTTCATTTGCTCAGATTAACACGGTTGAGATAAAAACTTTTGATTAAAGATAAAGGTAATCGTGTAATCCGCCAATGGCAACAAGAGCTTTCTGTGATTTTTCGTTTTATAATTTCCATAGTGGTTAGTGGCAAGCGCAAGATTTTAATCGTACCATTACGAATCGCCACCTTCTTCTCTTAATTTTGCGTGGATTGAACTCTTGCAGGAAACCACTTTTTTGTTTGATATGTCAGGGACAGCACTTCATCCATATGCATGAAGGATTTTCTGGAAGAAAGCACCTTTTACTGCCCTGCTTCAAGTATAAATAACTGATTTGCGCTCTACAATGAGCAAAAGAAAATTAAAGGGTCTCGCAATATTCATAAAAAAAGAAACCCCCGTATAAGTAATTCTGTTGATGTAGTAGGGAAATAAATGTACGTCGTCATGTCTACGGGGATATTTTGAGAACCAAAAAAAATAGTGATGTGGTTTGTGATGTCAATTTTGACGTATAACTTGCACGAATGTGCCAACAGTGCAAATGTCCAGAAATGCAATAAACAGTTCTTGCTTTATAACTATAAATATTAAAAATAAACGTAATGCCAAAAATGTATTTAGTAAGGGATTAAAGGTATGACCGAAAATCATCGAAAACAAGCAATTTGGAACACCCTGTATATATCTGTTTTCATTGTACCTACCAAGCCGTTAATTTGGTGGCGAATGGGAGAAGAGGGCGCAATTTTGGTGGGCCGCTTCGGGCACCAGAACCAGCGGTAGCTACTCCGCCACTGGGTCTTGTAAGCGCTTAATTTGCGAAGTGCCCTTCCATTCAACTTCAGCGAGATAATCATGTTGCTTAGATAAGCGAGCTGCATGCTCATCAAGATACTAAGAATCGCATACAAATTTCAGTAGGGGAATTTCCTATTCGGAAAGCAGACTTTTAATCCGGCTCATATTCATTACATTAGCACTGGTACTTGATCTCGTAGAAAATCGATTGGTGAAGGTTTGATATCGCTGTCTTTTTTCGTTCACGAGTTAGACGAGGAACAGACGAACAAAACCATAACACAAGGAGAATTTTTTATTTTGAAAAGTTTCCCTGAAAATTGCGAAACAAGCATCCTAGACAAACAAGTTGTAAATCAGCATATGAATGATTAAGGCGCATTTTTGGTAATACAGATCAGTATTTTATTAGAAAAGTTTAAAATTATCGATCTCACAAGTAATGTAACTCAAAATAGACCTGCACATCTACACTATAGCAGAAAGCTTTTAGTGAAAATTTGAAGTCTCTATAACTATTATAATTGTTGAGATCTCAGCCGGACAGCCAGCCAGCCAGCCACACAGTTCGACAGCCAGTCGTAACGAATAAAATCGGGTAATTTAAAAAAAATGCGCTAAAAAGATACTATTCATTTATTTGATGCTTTTCGGCAAAACATTGCGCAATATAGAAATATCTTCATACAATGTGTCCGTATTTCGATAGGAAACTACAAAAACTAGCGCTAATAACATCAAAACAAGTGACAATCGATGTTGTTTGTCGACACCAAAAGATTTGTTTTAAGGAAGTAACTTAATAATGGACCATATTTAAATAAAACGAAATTAAATTTATAAAGATAATTGGAGATCAGCGCAGAATTCTGCAAAACTTTGTTAATTTAACTTTCTCTCATTCTTCTAATAACTGGGACATCAATATACATAAGTAATACAAAAAAATTCACCCATTCCTTCCCCACTTCTCCTTTCTTCCCTATCTTTTTTTCCTCTTTTCTGTCGGAAGTGGTGTTTCGTTAAGTACTGGAATCATCGAAAAAACTAAGTTGGTTCGTGACGGTTGGAAAGCGTGTACGTTTCTTTACGCTATTGTTTATTCGGACTATCCGCCCGATTTGATTAGTTGCAGACGTAGTTTGTCATTATTAGTAATTTTAAGATTTTCTTATTTTATATGTCAACGCCTGCGTGTGGGGTAATTTGTCCAAAACAAGCTTTGTAACTACATTACTACATTTAACAGCTCGGACACTAATTAGCACTTAAAATCTCGTACTTATTTCACTCATGCAGGATGAGACTTTAGTCTTTTAGTGTATTGCGTTGGTCATCAATCGCAATACCTTGGACTGAAAACGTCATAAAATCTCTATAGTGGATGTAGATTCTATTTCACACTCCACACTGGCTGTAATATTGCTTTGTATACTAGCCTTTTGTTGTTTACGTTCACTTGGGATTTCGGTCCAATTGGCCAGAAAAGCTGCCTAGGTTTATGTTCCAGTTGTTTTC